GGGGGGCGCTCGGCGGTGCCGCCCCCGCAGCCCGTAACGCGTGTCCGCTTTGGTCCGCAGTGGGAGTCTCGCTGAAGGGCCGGACGGTCATTGTGAAGGGGCCCCGAGGAACCTTGAGGAGAGATTTTAACCACATCAACGTGGAGCTGTCCCTCCTGGGAAAGAAGCACAAGAAGGTGAGTGCCGCACAGGCCGCTTTGCTGCCCGGAGACAGAGGCGAGCTTCATTATTGGCTTGAAAACTTGGGGTGGTGTAGGAGAGTGACCAAAAATGTTCAGCTTTGGGCGAGTTGTTTGGTGGGTTTTGCTTATTCCTGTGTTTTCTGAGAAAGAAATTGGTCTGATGGAAGGGCGGGGCCTCCTCGGGCACTGTGGGGAGTGCATTCTTGTCTAGTGACAGTTACAGGGAAAGGAGATGATTAGTGTATGCTGTTCTACAAACTGGATCTTTCAGTGGATAAAAATCAGTTTACTGGATTTCCAGAAACTGCAAGTTATATTAGGAGAGCAGAGATAAATAAATGCTTGATTTTTCTTATTGTCTCAAAAAGTTTAAGAAAATATCGAGAGTGACTGATTTCAGCTACTGTTTCACAGAGTTCGAGTGTTTCATTAAAACAGGGGATCTGCACACAGTTTAAGTTGATTATGCATAGGAGACAGACTTTAAAACAATATGCTTAGCAATTGCTAAGCAGGTTAGGATTTAAAAGACAGGAACCAGGTGGGCCTTTAGTAAGTAGTCTGTCAAATAAACAAAACAGTTCTGTGTTTTTGTTTGGTGGGCTTTAAGTAGTTTATCTGAAAGTTTTGTTCCTCATTTGTCACATAATTATTTTGTTGCTGGTTTTGAAGTGTAGCTGAAAGCTTTGTTAATGTGATTTTTGATGCAGCTGCGTGTTGACAAGTGGTGGGGTAACAGGAAGGAGCTGGCAACAGTTCGCACAATTTGCAGCCATGTACAGAACATGATCAAGGGGGTCACTCTGGTAAGTTGTGTTTAAGTTGTGAACCAGGATAACTGCTGCCTTTTTTGTTACTTGCAGTGAGAGCCTTTTACTTTATGGAGGGAGAACGTTTCTAAGCATCCAAGATGCAGCTTCTTTCTCCTTCTGCTTTTTGTCGTGGCTTTGCTGTCAGGCAAGTTCTGGTGGAGGAAAGGATGAATGTCTCTTGGGCTCAGTGTCCTGTCCTTTCTCAGAAGCTGTTGGTACACCTTGGCTTTAGTTTCTCCTATAAGCTTCATGCATGTGTTCTGCCTTTTGGGCCTGTTCTGCTTTCAATACCCGGTTATGTCCTGTGTCCCAGGGCTTTCGCTACAAGATGAGGTCGGTGTACGCTCACTTCCCGATCAATGTAGTCATACAGGACAATGGCTCACTTGTGGAGATCCGGAACTTCCTGGGAGAGAAGTACATTCGCAGAGTGCGGATGCGGCCAGGTGAGCCTTTCTGGAGACATGTTCTGCTGGTTTAAACTAGGCTTTCCAAGCTGTTTTCTTTGGGCTCTGCCACTGATAATGGGAGAGGATGAATAATTCATGTGCTTGTCTGAATTTATGTAATCTTATGATACTCTTGCCACTGTCTAGATTTGTTACTAATAATGCCTCTGTAATTTATCTTTACTAGCAAGAGCTAGCTAACAACTAGTCTGGAGTTAGTTATTGTAATACAAGGAATCCAGGATTTACTTGAATCACTGGGAGATCTTAATAGTGTTGATAGTTGGTAAGCTGCAGGTGCTTAGTGTTAGATTTGCGTTTCTGTTTTAAAACACTGTACATTAACGAGTTTCATACCACGTCATAGTTTTGGTCTTTAAGGTGTTTGAATTTGCTGATTATCTAGGAGCATGCACAGTAAACTTAGAAATTGCCATCTTATTAGCTGTTTTTACATCTTGCACACTTGGAGTTTCAGTAAAATGTCTAACAGAAAAGCAGGCACTTGATGGAGCTTGTTAAACTTCTGGAGGGAGGCAACAAAACCAAAATTTTGTCATAAACAAAGTTACATAAAGACTGGGAAAGATTTCCCTTACCCATTTGTTTTTTTCTAATTCCACTTCTGGTGAGGGTATGGGTAAGGACATTTAATGCAACTGATGATGTTTTGGGGTGACTATAGAGGAGTGCATCAGACTTGTCCCAAAACACTGGTAGATAACAGTGCAGCAGAGTTACAGGGTTTTTGATCTACTGTGGGATGTTAAGGGTGGGTTTGATTTTTGTATTGGGTTTGTTTATAAGTCAGCATTTACTGTTAGTAATGGGCTGGCTTAAAATCTTTTATCTGTTGATTACATAGATGAAATAGTAAAAACTTCTGTTGCTCTCCTTACAAACTCATGTTTCCTGTTGGAGTCTTGAATGCCATCATGTTTACTCCTTGTGAGTACTTGCACCATTGCTAGTGTAAACACGGTACATGACATGACAGGGGCAGGTAGTTTTTAATGGCTTTTGATTGGGCTGACTGCAGTTTTGTCTTCCTGAGCACAAGCCTGTGGGAAATGGCACCACCTTGCTGATGGAGCCGTGCTGGCAAAGCGCTGGCTTGTACACAGTGTTGGTAATGGATGCTCCAGTGTAATAATGGGTGAGCAGGACTATCACTTCAGTAGCTGTCACTCCAGAGCATGACTTGCACTAATATTTAATTGAAACTATGAGGGAGGACAGCCCTGGAATGGATTTGAGGGACTCTCTAACAAAGTCATAGAAGCTAATTATTGTCTTGAATACTAGTGTCTAGATTTGGACAGGACATTAATATTGTTTCTTTAATACACTTAACACCTTCAACAGTGTGGATTATGTGTTTGCCTTTCCATAGGTGTTACCTGTGCAGTATCTCAAGCCCAAAAAGATGAGCTGATCCTTGAAGGGAATGACATTGAGCTGGTCTCCAATTCAGGTTTGTGAAAAGAGATGTGTGGAAAATTACTTGGAAACTTTTGTCTGAAGATGTGAGCTTAGCAAACTCTTTACCTCAAACCATGAGGTAAACAACAGCCCATATTTTTTTTTGCTCTAGTCACTTTAATTGCTTTTCATGGTTCCTTACTCTGTTTCTAAGCTTAAAGATGTTTTTACCAGTCTGCAGAACCTTCTTCAGGTCAGTACTTACGGCCTTTTTGGCACCAAACTTTTCAGCTTTTCAGTTGTACATGGCGTGCAGTAATGAAATGCTTCTGCCCCAAGTTGCCAAGATGGGCTCAGTGAAATGCATCCTATTTTCATTAGACCCCTTCAGGATTTAAAGTTGGTAATTCTGTTTCTAGATGACAGTCCTGTTCTTTAGTTGAAATACTGCAGCATAAACAAAGACTACATGTTGGCTTGGACCTTTTGGCTTTGTGCTAATAGTCTCACTTTGTCTGCAGCTGCTTTGATCCAGCAAGCCACCACAGTCAAGAACAAGGATATCAGGAAATTCTTGGATGGTATCTATGTTTCTGAGAAAGGAACAGTGCAGCAGGCAGATGAGTAAAACTCATAGGTTGGTATCATCTTAATACACATTGTACATCTTCTCTGTAGAGATGGGGACTTGACAGGGTTATCTGCTTCAACATGGCCATGGTTAAACAGGTTCCCAAATTTTGTTTGTAAAAGATGCCATAAGATGCATCATAAAATTTAAATTTTGGTAGGTCTTTCAACAGCAGTTGTCCATCTTTCATCAACTTGGCATTTTGCTACTGTATGGAGAAAACCTATCTCTCCAGTGCTGTACTCTGCATTGTCAATGTGAGCTGCAGTGCTGGCTGAGAATTGTGAACAGCTGACCTAACCTGACAGACTGGTTTACAGCTATTTACAGAGCAGATCTCAGACTGATGTTCTTCCTGGTTGGACACTGCCCTCACTAAAATGGTGGACAGCACCCAATTTATATACAAAGGTCTTCTGAACAGTTAGTATGTAAATGCTGGTAAACAGGTCAGTTTAACAAGGACACTGTTTACATCGTCCATGGCCGTTGTTACTGAAATTGAGTACGCGGATTTGGGGATAATTTAGGAATTTTAACTGCTAAAGGAATTCGATGCATTTCACCTGTGTGTGGTTCCTTACATAGTGCAAAACACCTGTGCAGGATGAGACAGTCTAACTTGCAAATACATTCTGTGCTGTGTGCCTTGAGAACCTAAGCTTGAGGCAGGATGTAGATGAAGTGAGCTTCATAAACCTGTTTTTTTAAAAATCATCCTCCAGATACCAAACATTTGCAAGCCTCCAAAAAAATCTTTAGTGCCATTCTAAATGCCTTGAGAGACGGAGCAACTTACTACATTTGTTGAACAGTTGAGCTGTTGTGCTTGAAGGCATCTTTAAGTAATCTTGTCTGTGTAAAATCAAGCAAATTCTTTGAACTATTAATATCTGTCTTGCATTAAAATCGTCAGATAAACATCAAATGATTATAAAACTTTCAGTTTCACATTTGCACTGCTAAAATATTTTTAAAAGCTCTTAATGTTTTATTTACAGTTGTCTGGATCCCGATGGTAATTACTGCAAGATATTGTACCAGCAATGCCAGCTGGTACAAGGTGAGAACACCCTTAGAGGTTTAATAAAACAAACTATATTTCATATCTTGAGTTTGTTGTTGTTTTTTTTTTTTTAAACTAAATGGTGCTTGCATGAACCTGATGGCTTTTAGAGAAGCAGATTGCACAGTGGGTCCGCCCTACCAATGTGGTATTGAACCACTGGACTTCATTCAGACTGAATGAATTTGCTCAGACTGGTAGGGCAATGTGTAGGCCATGCTACCATGATCTTTCTGTGATGAAGTCATGAAGTGGCATTTTAGAGTCATTAAAACTCAAGCATTTTTCTCATAGAGGGAAGACCAGTGTTCTTTCACATTTTTTCTCAAGCCTCAGACTTGTGATGACAGAATCTGAAGTAGATGAAAAACAAAACTAAAATCAGTAGAACTAGATTTGTAAACCCATTTAAACTAAACACATAGATAGAAGCAGTAGTCTGAAAATACAATGCTTTATTGCTCAAATAAGAAAACAAAGGACTTGACCTCAAAGCTCAACCAGAGTGTATTGCTGAGTTTCGCCAGCAGTGAGTTATCTGGGGGTACAGCTTGGTTTCTTCACTGCTGATCTTGCCATGTAGCAACATGTAACTGGGAGGTTGTACTATTTCTGTGCAGTAGTAAAATCGACATTGTCACTTGCTCCATTCAATTTGGAAAAAATATATAAAATACTAGGATAGTGCAGAAACATACTTGGCAACAAGTTGCTAAAGCATCTGATGCATGTTAAATTCCAAAATTGCCCAAAGATCCACTTGTATAATGACATGTGCAATTTACATTCCTCACTCAATTATTGAGTGGGTCAACTATTTATTTGGATGTTCTCTGCTAGTAAAAATTTTTATGACTGCCCCATTTTGGAGGTGAAAAATAGTGATTGTATATGGTTTTGTCTCCAGTTATATTTGCTTAAAGCTACTTCACCCAATCTGTAAGGGATATCTGTTGGTCAATTATGGAGTTAACTTGGTTTTGTTCTTTTAGGGGTATCTTCAGAAGCTGGTCCAGCACATTTCCTTCCTGGTGTTGTACTTAGTTGAAGGTTTGTGGGGTTTAATAGAACATCTAAACCCTAACAGCTGGAGTTTCATGCTGAACAACACTCATAACATGAATACACATCACAGGGCTTACAAAGGTGCATATCAGTTCTCAGAAGTTGCTCTTTGCAAGTAAAGCTGTTTTAAAGGTTATTCCAATGCACAGGAGGGTCATTTTTTTTTTTTTTAACATATTAAGTTGTCTTCTAGGTACAGTAGGTGGATAAAAGTAATATCATTAGAAACAAGTGCCATGGGTCTTCCTGTCAATGTGATTACTGCATTTTTGAATGAAATGCTTGGTGTGTGTGACTGGAGTGACTCAGTGCTTTTCCACAGTTGTCTTATCATCCACTGTAGAATGCAGTGATGGATCTCACTGAAAGCGGGCTTGTGCCCCCTTTTAAAATGAGACACAGATGCATTTGATGCTTTTCCCCTTAAAACGTTTTCTTCTTTTTCTTTTGTGAAAAAAAATAACAGCTAAAAGCAAACTGAGGGTAGAGAAAAGGCAGCAGGTAAAGAATATTAACGACTTCTTCTGAGAAATAAACAAGCAGAAGCTACACTGCTTTTCGTGGCTAGAGGGGCCACAGACTGAGTAGTCAGCAGGAAAGCCATTGTTGCTTATCAGGCTATTGTAAAATCTTACTGAAGGCTTTTCTTTTGAATCTGAAGTGAAGAATCCAAATCTAGGCTTAGATTTCTCTTCAGTCAGCTTAAATGCATAGTAGCCTTTAATCTTGACTTTGTCAATGTGGTAGGCTGAGAAGGAAAAGAAAGCAAAACAAGGTGTTAATAAAAACTTACATGTGAGGTAAAACCTGCAGACTTTCTGGTAAGGAGTTCAGATTTCAAGCTGTTACAAATTTTAAAAGTGTACTTATATCAAAATATTTACTGCTTCTAATACTCAGTTGTCTTAATTACATAGGAACGGTGCCTTACTGTTTTTAAAAAATCCTTATGATTTGGGAATTTTTGGAACTATGCCATGAAAACTGGATTTGTACAGGGTTGGAGCTGGGAGTTTGTTTCCCCAGGAAAAGCTAGATGCTGCTCTTAACTGCAAGGACTCGGGAGCAGCTGCCCGTAAGTGCCATGAGAGCAGCTTTCCAAGAATTCCTGCCCTGTTCCAAACTCAGCTGCTCATCTGCAGCATGCATGGCTCTGTGCTACAGTGCTGCACCCAAGTGCTGGGGGAAAATACTTTAAATAGCAGGCCTTGAAGTCATGTGGAAGCAGTGGGCATAGTTGGGAATGTGATCCAGACTAAGAACAGGTAAACATTTAATAACTTACTTCCTTTAGTAATGTATTGTTCTTTTGTTTGCAGTATGAAATTAGCATGGAAAATAAAGCAGCAAATGCTTATTAGTCCTGCGGTAACTGAGAGAGCTAAGCACTGGAGAGAGAACACTTTTTTTCTTCTTGTCTAAAAGTAATCTGAAGCCATGCTTAGCCATGAGTAAGTTTTGTCTCATTTTTTATTAACTGCTAGAGAGGAGAACCCAGGACACCTAGACTGTGTTTGATGTCAGTTACCTCAGAAAAGCATTTGAACCTGCTGTGTCCTGATCAGGATCTCTCTAATGCTCACCAGTAGGGAGCAGTGAGGGCAGGGATGTATTGCACATGTCATTTTGCCTGTATGGTTCAGGTACCAAGGCCTTGCTGGTAGCCTGTGCCTCACTGCTTTTCTTTAATGATTGGTTGGAGGAAGAGGGAGGGTAGGGGAGGGGTGAGGTCCCTGCAGCATTTATCATACAATAAGCTGTTGCTGAAGATTATTGTCTTGAATGTTTTTGTTTTCTAACTCCACAACTTAATTGTTTTTCTCTAAAGTGAAGTAGATTTCCATATGTGCCCAAGAGAAAACAAGTAGTGGAACAAGAACTAGAGCTGGGCTCTCCCTTCAACAGCTGCTGGTGCTGCTGGTGCCCTGCTATATTTCTTCTGTATGTCCTTCCCAGGTCTCTGTGGACTTGCTTGCACTTTCCTGTCCAATGTTCAGTAGGCAAGGAGGCTCTTGCCTTCGTCTGGAGAGTAGAAACTTTAATTGTCTCTTGGGAGTTGTTGGGCTGAAGTGCCATCTCCTAATAATTTCTGAGTAACTACTCTGCTGTGTGTGCATGCTCAAGAGAGCTTCTCTCATGGTTTAAACTGGAGGCAGCTGTGGCTGCATTTTGTACATATACATACTTGATGCCATTCCTTTGTGTCGTAGCTGCCCTGAGTGTGACTGCAGAGTTGGGCCCCTCAGGTGGCTTAGTGCGGCTGGCTCCTGCATCTGAACCAGGACTGCTCGCTCTGTCCAGGGCAAGACTTAGCTGTGCCTGGGTCTGAGCCATGGAAATGGCTTTGGGGAACTTGAATCTGTCATGTACTCACCTTTTAAAACCTCTTGTACGTATTTGCCCAAGTAATAATTTCGAAGTTCATCATTGTCTAAGGATGGGTCATCTATTCCATTTGCTGTGATGTAAATGTCAATGTCACCATAAGTTTTTTTGATCCACCTGAGAACTTTGCGTATTCCCCAAGGCACCACTGCCAAACGAGAAGGGGAGCTCAGGCAGGTGATGTCCTGCAGAAATTGAATGTCACGATCAAATTCATACTGGCTTCCATTCTGAGGTTCGTCAATCACAAATCTGGTGGTGAAATGATTCAGTGCGTAAAAGTCAGCTGCACCTTTGACAAGCTGCTTTTCCTCACTTGTGAAAGATGGCAACAAAGTATATGAAAGGCCTTTTCTGTTTTTAAAGGCGATGTATTCCCTCATAGTAGCTGGATAGTCCCCAGTCTTAAATATGGGGTTGGCAAACCAGCCTATTTCAAACTGTAGAAACCTGTTGACAGCTTTTGAATGAGATTCAAAGAAGGGGTTGGCAGGCTCAGCCCAGTCCGAATGCAGGGACAGGGACACTTTGCCGTACTGAGAGGACCGGTACCGCTCGTCGTATATTCTCCAGGCCATGGCGTGTGCTATTAGTAAATTGTGTGCTGCCCGGTAGGTGTCATTGCTGCTCCTGTTGTAGACATTGCTTAGCTGGTTAGGCTCGTTTATTGTAATCCAAAGTTTAACCAAATCACCAAGCTCCCTAAAACATAAAGCTGCGTAGTCTTGAAAAGCGTAGGCAGTGGATTGGTTCAACCATCCTCCTGTCTGCAGCAAAGGACCCGGCAGGCCCAAGTAGGTGTGAGTTGGATAATACAAGGTGACCATGGATTGAACGTTGAGTTTCAGGACTTCACTAATCACACATCTGTAATACCTAAGAACTTGCCTGTTGATCACTGACAAATCTCCATTGGGTAAAATTAGTGACCAGTCAAGTGCAAATCTATAATGGCTGACTTTCATTTTTTCCAGGAGATCCAGTTGCTTTTTAATACTGACAAAATCTGTGCACTGTGCTGGTCGGGTTTTTAACTTTACACCTTCAACTTTGTGCAGAAGCCCATCTCCTGTGACATTCCAGAGGTACAAGCTGGAATCACAGAACTGTGGTGAGGAAGCTGCTGATTCTGCCTGTGAAAATAAAAATATGCTACAATAGGTTTTAATTAAATGAACTTAATACCTGCTTGTAGTCTGCATTTCTGCCTGTGTTTAGCTGTCGATTAGTGCTGGATGTCAGAAGGCCCTGCTTAGATGCTCCAGGGGGAAGAGGATAACCAACTCACCTCTATGAACTTTGTGCTAGTGGTCATCTTATCATTCTGTTCCTTTCCATAAGAAAAACATCAGAATTGCACTTTTTTCTTTATCATTACACGTAGGCATTTGCCCTGCCACCAGCCTGCATGAGATGTTTTCACTGAGAGAGCTCTCCCTGATTGGTCATGCACACAGTAGGTCTCAGGCAGCTGCCAGGAGAACGGGTGGTGAGGACAAGCACCAGGAGCTGTATGAGGCAGGCACAGATTATTTTGGCACTGCTGCTGTGATCAGCCTTGTGAAACTGAGGCATAGTAATCTGACACAAACAGCTTGTAGCATTCAGTTATATCTTTTCTATATCCTACTAGTTGAAAAAGTTGGAATAACACTTTTTTTAATATTCCAATTTTAAATGGGTTTTTTTATGTTTCAAAGTACAATATAGTGAAGTTTAAAATATTTAGATTGCTTTTTTTACAGGAAATGTACTTTTTTTTTGTGCTGTATATTAACAAGATTTATAGAAGCTTAACTTTTTCTTCCCCTACAGTTGTCAGTGAATAGGTTAAATTATGGGATTTTGTCGTTATTTTTTGAGGCTGATATTTGTCATGGGACTACCTGTGTGCAGTGACAAGAAGGGTATCCCAACACTGCCCATACATACAGTTAGCTTATTTACTAGGTTTAAAGCAGAAATAGAAGAAAAATAAAGTATCAATAAGTCCTGTAGGAACCAGTTTGGACAAAGGTTGTCCAATCTGTTTTCTAATGTGAGCTCAGATGGTAAACTTCAAGGTTAATTAACTTCACCTCTGCTAGGTGTCTTTTTAAAGAATGGCTTCTTACCCACTTGTCTGAGTGGCATTTAGAGCCAGGCCTAACCCAGGAATGTGTTTCTGCTGTAGACAAGACCTGGAGTCTGCAGGCACTGCTGCCACCAATGTGATCACCTTGTCCTTGCCCTTTGTCACTCTCCCCATCAGGCCTTCACAAGCATCCCTATGGCCACACTGCAAACTGGATTTGGAAACCCCTGGTTGAAAAATAACCCAGTAACAATTGGTTGGATCAACTTATTGGTCTGAAATGTCCTCATCTGATCTGCCACATGGAGATGCAAGCAGAGGGAGGGCCATGCTTGGAAGGGCTCCTGCATCAGGGTTTGTTGCTGCAGCAGTAGCCAGCACTCTGTGACCTGCTCACCTGAAAACCTGGAAACACATGAAATTGAACCAATGCAGTTATGGCTTAACTTCTGTTGGCAGTGTGCATTGAAATTCTTGAATGCAAGGTGCTGTATACAGTCATTTGTTCACTCTGTTTCCAGAGATCAACTCAATATTTTATGCTTACCTTGAGAACAGACTCGGTGACACCCCAGGAGAACTCACAGGAGAACTGAGCTTGCAAGTGTGGGGTAGAATCCTTTGGGAAGAAGCCATTTTCTCGTATGATTTGTTTATAATAAAGTGCAGATGACTTAGGAATCCTTTCCTTTTTTTTGCTTTTGAAATCTACATAAAATAATCCACGCCTGATATTGTTAGCATGTTGCCATTCGAAGCCATCAAGGAGGGACCAGGCTGTGTAACCAAACACATCTATGTTGTCGTATTTAATAGCTGCATAAGAGAAGGTAACATCCGTGAGTTTTCTATTTAGTATTCTAACATATATAAGGTATATTTATGTGAAAATGATATTTATTTTGAAAATCTTGATTGTCTTCTCAATGTCTGTATTGACCCACTGTAATTCATTGCAAAACTGAGGTATGTATCTTAGTCTTTATTTACTAAAAAAAAAAAGAAATTAAGAAACTAAGAAATTAAGAAATTAAGGTGTTACTAAGAAATTAAGGTGTCCTTAAGAAATTAAATTACTGTAGGATTCTTTATTTCTGCTCTGACCAAACAAGAAATATTATACTACATCCAGGTTTGAAGTTGCATTTGACAATTTGCCAGTAAAATAATACCAGTAAAATTAGAGAATCATGAGTCAAAATAAAGGGAGCAACGGTTGATCTGGTTTGTAACTTTGTCATGAAGCGAAAACTTTCTAGCTTTATTTGAAAGATGTCTGTAAGCTCAAATATTTGGGAATGTCTACTCAGCTTGTAGATTGAATTTTTTTTTTGTTAGCATGGGACTGTTAATGACTTTAGAGAAGTACAGTAGAGCAACCCAGAGACTGATTTAGTCACAATATGGGTGCAGTGCATGCTGATTTCTTCAGGCAATCTTAGTGTCCCTCTTGCAAAAGAGTCTACATATGATCTTTTACATATAATATATGAGAAAGATAACACTTTCTCAGATGTGGAACCTGATTCTTCAGGTAGTGCAGCAGAGCCTGCAAAGCAGCTTCCCAGCAGACTAACCACAACACTTTTCATCCGTGTAGGCTCATGCCAGCTGGCAGCTTGGAAGGAAAAGTCCAAACTCCATGGTCAGTCATGTTCACTGCCTGTCGCCACCTTTAAGCTAGCAAACAACACAGGATAACTCCTCATGTTCACCTTATAAGGGATGGAATACCCAAGGCAAAGAAATGACCAAGTAGGGTTCCTGAGGATTTTGACACAGACAGGTGGACAAGCCGTATTTTACCTGTAGCCCACCACACCAGTAAGCCAAGGAATAAAGATGAAGTTTTCTGGTTTATTCTTTCCAATATCATTTAGCCTCATTTTCTCAGGACATATAATTTTGCATCGTTCTGTATTTCTACTGAACTTCCTTGCCCTAGTCACACCAGGCTGCTACTTGAGCAGAAAGCAGTTTTGCACAGAGCATGTATTGATGCAGCAGAGTTCCAAGGTATCCAGAAGCAAGGGCATAATTCAGCTGGATGCTTTCCTGGTTGCTAGATGAAATCAGAAATGAGCTTGCAGTATGAGTGAGTATGTGGGAAGCTGATAGACAAGGCCAGAATACTGGAAAGGAGATGAGGAAATGTAACGAAGCAATACAATGGCATGCATTTTCAAAGAAGGCAACTTCTAAATTACGGAAATCATGGGAGAAAGTGCAAAAATATCTGAAAATACCCATTGCAAAATGCAGAGGCAGAGAATGGTGAAGAGGATAAAGCGATAAGCTAGAATGGCCTTGCAAGTAAAGTTCAGTACTTGATGTCTGCAATGAGGCAGGTTGAACAAATGGGAGCAGACATTTGGGACAGAGTAAGTGACAACTGAGAACATTTTTGTTTGTAGAAGCATTTTGAATAGATGGGGATGAGTTTAATTGTCAGAGCAAAAGATGCTGTTGTACTTGAGATGGTGCATGCTGAGATCTTGTGACCATTTGAATGGGTAGGGGGAAAATTATATTTTATGTATACTTTATAGTAAAGAAAATTAAAAGACAAGCAGGTGATAGGTAGAGATCTTGTGGATCAGAGTGAGAGTATGTTTGTAGCATTGTCTGCAGGGACAGTGAAAGGAGAGGGGAGAAACAGGTCAGGATCCTGACTGAGTGTTAGAGTGAGGATGAGAAAAGCCCCCTGAAAAACAAGGGGAAGGTCTGGGGCAGAAACAAAGGGCTGAAGGTAGGAAAGCTCAGGAGTTAACTAAGCTCCCTATGTCACCAGAGGTGACATTCACAGAAGACGATTTCAAGGCTTTTCTGTACCTACTATAGATGGAGTCTTAGAGTCCCGCAGGAGTAGTAGTTTCAGTATGGAAACCCTAACCCTAACCAACCTTACCCCAATGCAGATGTTAGACTTTAGCTTTTTGGTACAGGGGCTATGGGTTTTTTCTGTTTGTACAACACCTAGCACCAGTAGATCCTGATCCATGACTTGAATACATGCAGTATAAATAATTAATGATTAACTTTGTTGCCATTATCTCTTAAAAAAAAAAAAAAAAAGATGAAGTTATTACAGAGCTAAATATCAAATGATCAAAAATGCTCTCTGAAAAATCCAACAAGTAATTTCTGTACAAACCTTGTAAAACCTTATTAATGAAGTTTTTCATTATGTAGATGGCTGTGGTGTCATCTGTTTTCACATGGCTGTCAGTGAACCAGCCATTCTCTGCAATCAAGATTCGAGGACTGTTGTATTCCAGTTTAATCCAATTCAGTACTTCCCTCAAATTGAGTGACAAATTTTGTCCCATTTTTGGTAGAGTGTTTGGAGGTTTAAAGTTACTAGGACCAAAGGAAAAGGCAAAGAAATCAGCTGTTCCCTTTATGTATTTTTTTTCATCTTTGGTAAAGTGTGGCAGAAACAAGAATTCATTTTTCAGTTCTTCTGGATAATCCCCATCCCCATGGATAGGTTTAGCGAACCATCCGAGTACTCTTTCCATGGACTTCTGACATTTAGAAATGTCCGACTCATCTTCCGATTTGTTAGGCTCGATCCAGTGGGATCCCAATACTATGGATATCATCCCCTTCTGATAAGGTTCAAAGTGTTCTTTGTAGGTATGCCAAACTTTTGCATGAGCCTGATGAGAGAAAAATAGTATTAAATTGTAACTCAAACAAGTCTCTTTGTGCATTGGCAGCTAGAGAGGCAGGTAGCTCCATCTGAGTCACCGCAGGCTTATGTGGAAGTACCAGTTAAGGCACATGAATTACCCTGCACAGTTTAATGGGCACTGTTACCCTGCAAGGTTCCTTGGGATGAGGGCAATGCTCAGTAACTCATGTCCTATGACACGTTAGGGCTGTGGCTTTTTGCCTTTTAACACATGTCTAAATTTCAGGAGAGATCCCAGCAGGGATGAGAACAGCTGTTGTTACACAGGCACTTTGGAACAGCTCTAACAATGGGATTTGAACTCTGTGATCTAACCAGTCCCATCTGAGTCTTTCTCTGCCAAATGGTGATTCCTGATATGGTTAAAATTTCAAGCCATCTTTACAATTATTCCATCAATTATGCATCTCATATGATATTTTGTCAGTGGTGACTCTGTGCTACTAACTGCTCTGTGCTCCAGGGGTTACCTGGATCAAACCACATCCACCCCATCCCTCTTCTTGGGATTTATTTACTTTATTCTGGCCTAGTCACATGAGCAAGTGTTCAAATTTTGATATTTGCACAATTCCTAAATGTAAAAACTTGGGCAAAGGACTCAGCTGTGAAGTTTGAACCCAAATGTCAACTTTCGCAGCTCTGAGTGAGAATTTTGTTCAGGATTTTAATTAATTTCTTCTTTGAAATGATCAATGCACTGTATCACATCTTTATACTGCTTTTCTGATTATCATAATAATCATATATATTGTTTTAGAAAGTGTGTCGTTATTACACATCACAATTAGCTTCAAATGTCACATTATTAATTACTTAAATAAGGGCATATTCATAAGAGCAGACAAAACTTACACAAAACCAGAAATACATAGGAGACTGAAGAACCACTAGCATTGTCAAAGTCCTCTAAAGAACAGGGCAGGTAGGTCAGAGGGGAGTGACTGAGCTGCAGCATGAACCACATCAGGTGATCTGACGCAGGGAGGGGAGCTGACCTCTCCCAGCTGAAGAGTTGTCAAGTAACTCAGGGTTTACCTTCTGCCTGTAGTGTGGCATTACGCTCTTAAGCTGGAAAGAAAATAATAGTTTGCACCCAGAGAAAAACATTAGGAGCATTGTGAAACACTGAGTGCTGAGTTAGATTGTCACCATTACTAAGCCAAACAGCATTGCTTACCTTTGACAATAATTTCAGTTAATTTATCTATAAACATACAGCCTTGACAGTTTAAAAAAGCCTCCAAAAGGCCTGATGTCAGGTAGGTATTTGTTTAAGCTGGGCAGTACCAAAGAATTACAGTTTGTGAAATTTTGTGTATCACTTGTTTATGGTTTCTAAGGTCATGCTCGTAACATTTGTTCAAAGTCTGTCTTTGAAAATACTGATAAAGTGACACTAACCTTTGAAATGCAGGTTCTGTAGCTGAAGAGGGAAGCCAGCACAAATGGATCATGAGGCAAATTGCAAGATAGAGTTAAAGTATTATAAAATGGATTTTTTAGTAGCCTTATCAGAAAATTTAAGTGGCCAGTGCCATCTCCTCAGTTGCCCTCACTGTCCTCTCCTGAAAGTCCCTCCAGCCTGGGGTGGCTGCTGGGGCCAGGCTTACTCTATGCTCTGCCTCTAGGATTTTCTCACCTGTTTTGTACTTTTGCACAGTTTTTCTCCAGACAGAGCCCACAAACACCACTGTTGAACGAGAGGCATATGGCTGCATTGGCTTAACAAGAAACCCCCCTACTGCACTCAGCTGTAGGATGCACAGTGCCAAGTACCATGACAATAGCTCCAGATAAATCATAGCAATCACACTTTTCTAGGTGAAGTGGAGAAAAATGCCTTTGCCAAAAAACAACTAATTAGAATACGATATTGACATGTAAAAGCCAATCAGGGATAACTCATATTGATACACATCTTCAGGAGGTGATTAAAAGAAAATAAAATTACTATTAAAAATAATGTGTACAGTAGAGGATATAGGCCCAGGTATAACTCTAGAGGAGTAGACCTCTAGTATAAATAAGTGCATTTCATATGAGTCAAGATAGAGTCCTCATATACAAATTCATATGTATCACTGGTGACTTAATTCTGAGGATTAACTCTTAACTGTAAAAAACTTGTCACTGCCTACAGTTAGGGTTTTACAGACACAGCAGACACAATATAATTTGCTTACTGATAAATCTGCTGTGAGTTGTTAATTATCTGTAAGGAAGCTTAACATTCTCAGATAGAAGGTGTTTGCTAAATGCAAATTATTGTTGATGGAATAAGTTGATTTACAGAATTTGTTTTTTAAGACCAGATATGAAACAAACATCAATTTAAAAGCTACATCATATATCAAATTGGGTATTTTCAGTTAATCTTGACTAATCTTATTTCAGTTATAGTTTAATTCCTAATCTTTCATTTTCCTTGTTAGAGCAAGGACAAATGTCAAGGCTAAATACACAGTTAGAGTAGGATCAATATTGGGTATTTATTCTAGATAAGTATGACTCATTAATTTCAGCATATTTTCCTGGTATAAATGTAGAAAATATTCCCTAGTCTAGTAACAGAGGGTGCTGTCAGTAAGTACTAACCATGTAAAAAGGCTAGAAAAGTCAACTTAAACTGAAGCCAACAGTATTTGTTCTTTCTTTTTGAAACATTCTCATACTCCTTGAAATTCTGATCCTGTAAATTAACATATGCACATGCAAAGAGTTATCAATAGAACAATACTTTCAATCTTAAGATACTTTAGTCAAGCAATTTTTCTTTGAACAGCAATGAGTATACAAAACAATGTCAGGGGTGTATGGAGTTATTTTAGTGTGCTGGAAATCAAGAATATTTAGGAAAAACGCAATTGAAAAATATATAATGAACTTATTTGGGCTTTGTGTTTACTTGTTTGGTGTTTAAACTATGAAGAACTAGAAGGTAGTCTGATGATGATGATGGTGATGATGTTACAGTTCAGAAGAAGGGCAGGGTTGTGTGGCTTAACTGGAGACTGTATTTTCGTTCAAGGCTTTTTTGGTCTGTGGTAAAGATGCCCCATAGTCAGTAGAGCTAAAGTAGAATGAAACCCTTTCTTTTGCAAACTGAATCTCAATCCTTGTGAAGGATTGCCTACATCTCGAGATGCAGGTGACTACACTTCTTGAGAGGGTGTTATGAAGGACTGAGGCTTTACTATCATAATTCATTGTCTGTTAATTGTCCTGCATTTGGATTGTGTTTTCCCAAATGACTACCAAGAACTCTAAGAAAGCTAACCTGAAAATAACAAATCATCAAAAGACTATGAATCAGTGCTGAATTTTATGTCATCACTGATGGCTACTACTATTTGAAAAATCTTCTAGCAAAGACATTTACATTTACAGATGATTCTGGTGTCCACCCTAGAGGCATACTTGATGGAGACAGGCTTCCCTTCTGCTGTAAGAAATACAGGTGCTGGTGTAGTTTCATCTTTCTGCATCCTGAGGAAAGGAGTCTCCTCTGGGGGAAGGGGAAGAAGTGTCTGGTAGACAAAGAGGTAATAATTAATTCCCATTCATGAAGTAGAAATTTGCTTTTAAGGAGAATTAATTATAGGACTTTCCTGGGGCACACTCATCCAAAGATCCCAAAGTCAGCAGTGTCCATGAAGAGATCCTGGCATAGTGAGATATATCAAAGAGCTTGGAGTAATAAAGAGCTGGGAATAATGCAGCTGGGCACAGAAAAGAATATGATCTGCTAAGGACCTATAGGGAGACACCAGGCTTGAAAGTGAATTTATTACTTTTTCCAAGTACGTAATGAAGACATTTTTTAGGGAGAACTCATTATGACATTTCTTTCCTGGGATTTTCTGCCAGATGGAAAGGAGTGTGAATAATCTTTAACAGGAAACTAAAAAAAAAAAAAAAGAAAAAATAAAAGATCTCCTTTCTGCCTACTAGCAAAGGCAGAACTTGCTGGAGGGAACTGATACAGAGAAGGAAAAGAAGACAGGTTGCCCTTGTGATATTTACAAATCTCAATCCAAGTATGAAACAACATAACTAGATATACAGAAAATGGTAATAATATATCAGGTATATAGCTCACATAGGTCCAGCCACAATTATTCATGTGCTTTGTATTTTCTTACTTCTTGTCAGATTTATTTACTGATAAATCAAAGAAATCCATCTAATTTTTCTGCATGACATTTTTTTTTCTTCTCTGCTTCAGTATGACATCTGCCCCAGGAGCAAGCTCATAGTTTTTTTTCCATTTTCTTTGGTGTATCTTTAAAATGTTGCATAGCAAGTTACCTGTTAACATTAATTGGTTTCTGATGTTGCCTTTGTGATGTGCAGTCTCCTTTAATGAAGAACAGAAATACAGTATTTTGATGGCCACTCTCTATCTGGTATAAGATTCCACGTACTCCTTTTATTACTCATGATGACCATACTATTGAGAGATTTATCTAAGAGAATCCCTTAGCAATTTATATTTAATAAGCATCAAAGTTCAGATTCCCTATTAATTTCTGTAGAGGTACTATCAAGTCCTTTGAAATGGTCAGTAGCAATGATTACCCTCTGTGTATGAATATAATACATAGTAACATGCAAATGAGTTTTTAAAATTGAAATTTTTTAAAACTGAAATTTGAAATTCTTCTTCTGGATTATTTTCCCAATGTGGATCTCCTGCTTATCAGCCTCTGATTCTGCATTCACTACCTCTCTTTATAGATTTTGACTAGCAAGGCCTGTGCAAAAGGCAGGGCTGTCTCTTCTGTAGATGTGTCCGGGGCATTCCCTTAAGAGGATGCAAGGCTTGGAGGGGAGCACAGGCAGGAGGTGATTCAGCACCAGCAATGCCTTGTGCCAGCCAACACACAGAGCTCTGGGGCTGGATGAAGATAGAACAACCCTACTTTTGTTGGAAAGCCTTAATAAGATCATTATCTGCCTAGTTACCTCCATGAATTCATTCATAGAAGCAGATAATTTTTTAATCAGTTCCAAAATGCATCTCATTATGAAGATGATTCTTGAGGTCCTCTTTCAACCTGGTATTCCATGAACTTTTCCATAGGTTTTAAGACACTGTATTGCTTTTGAAAGCAATAATATTGATAAGTTTAAAACTAAGAGAAATTTCTCCTGCCCTTTTAAAGGGACACAAAGATTTCCAGCAACTTTCAAATTGTTCTTACAATAAAATAATCCACAGTCCAAAAAAACATAGGTTTATGGTTTGTTATATTGTTTTTGTGATTCTATTAAACTTAGCTTCAGGTTATGATTGATATATTACAAAAAAGCACTCCTTTATATAAACAGTGATTAGTTCTGATAACACCATGACTGCAACAATACACAAGGAAATTAAACTAAAAGTAGGATTCATGCAAGAGCTTCATTTAATTTCTCCAAAGATAATACAAAAAGGTTTGAAAATGATTTTCAGCAAATTGCTGTGTAACAGTGTGGTGGCCAGACTAGCTTCATTTCAGCATTACAGACCTGGTTTTCCTGCTCCGTATATTTAATAGATGGACCTGGTTTGTGCACAGGGTGGCATTGAGGACTGTGTCTGTCAACAGCCTGTCTAAAAATGAAGCCTTGACATGGACAAGAGCGTGGTTCTTCCTAAAGCTGATGACATAAATTGGCAATCTTTTCAAGAGCTTTAACAGGCTTTGCCTCACATTGTCAAAACCTGATATTTGGTTGATCCTTTATTTCTGGGATAATGTTTTTGGTTTGCAGTGGGGAATTAGAAGGCAGCCATAATACAATGTCTGAGAAACAGACCAGTATATACCGGTCATGAAATAAAAACCCATGTGAAGTCTCTTTATTTAAAGAGAGAATCTTATAATTTTTCTTGATTCTCAAAGGAGAGATATTTCACAACACGTGAATCCTGATTGTGCATTAATACATTCTATTAATACTGTATTGTCAACAATGCAAAATGAACCAAACAGTTAAACTCACACAAAAATCTTTGCAAAAGATTCTGGCTAGTTGGCTTGGAACATATAGTACCAGATGTGGCTTCTGTGGAATGGCTGGCTGGCCTAACAGTTTATTAAGAGAAATAAAAAATTATATTTAGAGATTGGAAGAGTTGTCTCATATTGACTGGTACCTCAAAAGTTTCCATTCCATCTCCAACCCCCACCATAAAACTCCAGTCCCTCAAATACTTTGCTACAAATTTGAAATTTTTCATTGATCTCAAATCTAGAATCTTCAGAAATTTTACAGTAGTACAGGAGAGAACTGCTAATACTTTAGGTAATGTTCATGGGGTTGTAAGAAGAGTACCAGAGGAGAATAATTTCTGCCCATGGATAATAAAACAGTAGTTAAAGGATTGTGTGCTGCTGAAAGTCTCCTTAACTCTTCCATCCAAGTGATTTATTTTATACTCTAGAACAAGAAGCAACTATCAAATCAAGTCTGAGAGACAAATAATATTGACCAAGAAAATTAGGTCAGTAATTTGTGTATCAGACCCAGCTGTGTTTGGCTTCCTGTAAAATCCACTTGATGCTTTGGCAGAAGAGTATTGCTTCCTCTGTGTGGGGTGCTGCTTACATGGATTTTACAGAAAGTGCAGAGACTGCCTAGTTGTACTCCACATTTGATTATGACACTCAGACATGAAGGCAAGAAATATTGCAAACTTATACGGTATCTTTTACATGCATTATATAAAATAGCACTTGAAAACAGGAAGAATGATTTGGCATCAGTTTTCTTTGAGATGCTTCAAAAATCTTTACAGTTAAATCATTCTTCTGCTAAGTCTGAAATCAGTTAGTGACTCAAGCTTCTTGACAACTTTTCTGTGTGTAAAACTTCTATAGACTGCAGTGTGACTTTCTTGAAAAATGATGTTCTGAAGGTTCAAGGCCAGAAGCAAATACAAGAATTTGTCAGTTTTTACTATTTTAACTACTCTGGCAAATAATTTTTCCCACTTGCATACTTCTTTCTGTAGGATTAACCTATTCAGATTGATTTGTTAATTAAATGTGCAATGTATGGCAAGTTGTAGAAAAATTCTCTTTGTGACAGTTAAGAATAGTCTCAGTAGGGAGAATTATACTGGCTGCAAAGATGGGATAGAGACCTGCTCTGTAAAGCACTTTGAGCACAGCAGATGCAAAAAACTACTGTACATCATGGAAATAACTTGAAACTCTCAAGTACTGAAGAGGACATTTGTTTTCTTCTGAACCCAAGAAGCACCAACCTTACTAGTTTAGAAACATTTTGCAATATGATCATACTAACCTAGAACAAATCATACTTAGATATACATACTCTATGGCTAGTAAAGTTGATTTAATATGGAAATACAAATTAATTTCCTTCTAAACTAATAGAATAGTCATTTCAGTATGGCCAAATCTGTTTAAGTAAATGTCAAGAACAAAGAATGTTCTTTAAGAGTTACAATTTGTATGTAAAAGCTAATTTAAATAAAATAATAAACAATCACTTTAAAACAAATAATTACGGAGTCAGCTGTTGTGACAAGCACTAGGATCAAAGTGAGGGTCAACAGAAAGACTGCTTTAGCTAAAGGCTATTTCCTGGTGCTTCCCCATAGGTGATTTTTTTGAAAAATGATCACAGGACCAATTCCTCCTATTATCTCCCACAGCAGTGCAAGATCAATTTGTAAAATCTTATTATACTGTACCTTGATCAAATTGTGTCCTACTGAGTAGACAGTTCTTATTTTCCCTCTCTCTCCAGGAGCATGAATACCTGTGCCATATCCATGCCAAGCAACTAAATATGGATTGTGGATTGTAATCCAATATTTAACACGATCCCCAAAGGTCTGGAAGCAAAAGGTGGCATAGTCATTGAAGATATCAATCATGGATTCATTTTTCCATCCCCCGTATTTTTCTTCCAGCATCAAGGGCAGGTCCCAGTGGTACAGTGTGACCACGGGGTCAATATTTCTGTAGAGTAAAGAGTCGATAAGGGTGTTATAATACTGAAGTCCTTTTTCATTGGGAGCTGCCACCACTCCAGTGGGGAAAAGCCTCGACCATGAAATTGAAAACTGGTAAAAAGTAACTCCCAAAAAATCCAGAGCAGATAAATCTTTGTCCAACAAGATATAACTATCACTGGAGATGCCTGTGCTGTCAGCGTCCCTGAACTCCGAGTGGGTGAAGTGGTCCCAGATGGAGGAGCCTTTCCCGTCCTTCCTCCAGCTGCCTTCTACCTGGAAAGCTCCTGTCCCTACCCCCCAGAGAAAATCCTTGGGGAAAGTGTCATATAAAAACATCTGTGTTTCGCTCAGAGGGCTGAAGTGGGAGTCCTTTTTCCACACAGATCTTCCTTCTCCAGCAAGCCCAGTAACTATCCTTACAAATACTAACATCCAAAAGGCAACTATCTTCTCCAGTCGTTGGCCATACATTATGCCAGTTTATAGTGCCAGTGTTAAAAATCAGGTTTCTTGCATTGATGCTGAAAAAATTCCATTCTTTTGCTGGAGTCCACGCTGTGCAGACTGTTTTCATTTGCCACAAGCTGCTGGAGTGTCTTATCAAAGCTTCACTAAAAGCTTGTGATTGTAAAAGCCCTGTCAATGATTAGCCTGAACTGTGAGACGTAGAACAGGTCTGAGAATGGTGTAATTTATAGGGAGGTGGCCTCTGTATGACCACTGACACACCTACCTGGCTTCTTACTGCAGCCTGCCTCAACAACAGAAATCCTAAGAACTAATTCATCATCATTTAAAGGTCAGTCATTCAGGTGGGATAATATAGGTGACAGAGGGTCTAAGAAGCTATCACATCCTTTATTTCTTGTGGAGCTGTATTTTGAGGAAACAACACAATTCACACTACATAATCACCAATGTAAAGGAGATTTATCCTATCTGTGTGATTGCATGGCTGGAAGGGCAGTGCATGATTCCTCAGTCCTACCCTGCTCAAACAACCAACTTCTGCTGAAAAACTCTTCCTGGACTTGTGGAATATTTTGTTGTGAACAAGAGATATACACACCACCAACTAACTATATAAAACCACAAAGCAAGTCAATATTTCTTTCAAACACAAATGCAACCATTTTTTCTATCCTGTATAAAAGTCTCCTGTACAGCACTACACATAGCAGCAGTACAAAATTGACAGGGAACTGTTTCAATTCTTACACCATTTTCCTGGATTTCGTCAAATAAACACAATTAGCAAAGAAAATTATCCCTGAAATATTGTATTTCAGTATTGATTAATTTAACAATTCATATACACATCTGGAGCATTGGTACAACAAATATTTATACAGCAATTTTGCAGTATAATTTAATCTTTTAACATGTTTAGCAACAGTATGTATGTTGAGATATAGTCAATTTACTCACCACAGTAAGACTGATGCCTGCCATTTTTGTTTTTCTTGAGGTACAGTAATAATAAAATGTGTCCATATAGAAACAGAAACTGTGTGACCACAGCTGCAGAAGAGCCTTGAAGAACCATAACACAAGTATGAAGTAACTTTGCATGTAAGAAAGATGCACACTGAAATCTGAACATGGGGACAATTTATCAGTGGAGCAGAGCACTCTGCTCAGATGAATTAGCCCTGCTGCCATGTAGGACATGAAAGTCCTGATGCACTGCTGCTTTACTGCTCCTGCTCCCCGTACTTGCAGCACTGCAGAATGCCACTGACCTAGACCTTTAATTTACCAACAAAGCTGATTAATTACTACAAATGGAAGCCAATTTATTTATTTTTAGGATAAACAAGAAAACATCCATGCTTGTAAGCATTTCTCTACAGAGCCTTTTCAAGAAACATTTTCACCACAGATGAAGAGAAAGGTCCCACTGACATCTGCACTCCAGGTCCCTGGTGGTGGGGTAGCCACGCATCTAACATGAACCTCTCCTCTTTCCAGAAGTAACTGATCTACATTTCTCAGCCAAGATCCTACCACACACAGGCAGCTTGGGAACAAGAGGAGCAGACAGGGACTGTACAAAGTTGGTTTACAGTACATACTGACATGTTCCTTTTTTGTTCTATGGAACAGCATTTAAAATGCTGTTTGATAGTTATTGCATTAACATAATCTTTCTATTTTGACATTTAAAAGCTCTGATTTTATGTATCCTACTTCACAAAAGAAAACCCAAATACAAGTCGCTATCGATGTCTACACTTCTAAAGCAGCTACTCATTACCATCATTTCCAGATGCTTGAGCTCCAAGTACCCACAACAGCTTTGTAACCCCATGGGCAATCTGTGGTCAAGGGAAGACAACAGGCTTCTCCCCACTAAACACAGCAGCGTTAGTACCCTTGGCACAAGGACGCAGAGTGTGTTGCACCTGCCTGAGATGTGTAAGGTGCAGCAGAGACTGGTGCTCTCAGGTGCTTGGTCTGTATAAGGTTATGAACTGTACTTCTTTCCTTATTACTGACATGACTGGGAGCATGCTATAATCATGGTTTGAAAGTGTTTCAATCCTTCAAGACTCTGTGAATCCAGTTTCTTACTGCTTGGTCGTATTTAACTGTTTGGGCTGTAATTTAACTTCATGAAGTTTTAAAGAGGAAGCAGTTTAAGTGATGAAAATCGTATAATGACTTGAATTTGGAAGAAGGAGTTCACCTGAGCAAAGACTTGAGGAAAAGAAATACTGTTAATCTGGAAAAGCAAATTTAATTTGGCTATTAAAGCAAATGTTAATTTGACTGTTCTTAATTTGGAAAGCAATCAGCACGGAAGAGTGAGATGTGATCAGGGGGTGTTAGGAAGTGAGGGTGTGAAAGGAGGAGAAGAGAATTAATGATTCCACTGGCTCAAGTGGCAGAGTCAGGCCAGACTCCAACCCTGATGCTGTATGAGGACATCATACAATATGATGCTGCACAGTGGGAATTCCTGCCTCTGTCCACACACCTAATCAATCTGGTTTCAGAATGAATCAAGACTGGGAGAAGCTGCAATCTGCAGGGCACTTGCTCATACAGATTCAGGAGTTAAGAAGCCTAATGATTATTCAGTTCAATTCTTACTTATCAGATTTCCTTTTCTTCTTTGCCTTTGCCAAGGCATATGATTCAAATGAAGAAAACAATTTTTCACTTGACTCTTGAATATGTAGTCTCCTTGTTTCGGGGCTTGGCTTGAAAATCTGAGGTTTGATCTACAGAAATGCTGAACACATTAGCTGAAAGGATAGCTCTGAATGTTAGACGGAGTATCAGTTGACACATTCATTCTGCCTAGATATGTAAATGAAGAAAAAGACCTAAAGACAAAGTTCACTCAGAAGAAGTGTAATGTTTACATTTACATCAGCTGCTCAGATCTACTAGTGTTAGGTGCTCAAAGAAGAACAACTTATGTAATGCCCACAACAGCGTCATGCAAATCTGTTATCTTTACCTTACACAGCTAAAACTGTTTGAGATGGGATCAAGTCTTTCTAAAGACACAAAATTGTGATGGATACTATAGAAAGCCTAATGTAAATAGAAACTACACCAAAGCTTTATGAAGAATTTTTGGAATTTTTCATTTGTAACAAAATGCTAATTTCTGCTTCTACAATGCCTGAAAAATTTTCTTTTCTTTACTAGAGAGTCTAGTAAGAAAAATATTCCTTATGGGATTCCTCCAGAACAGAAACTACAATCTAGTAAATTAGTATTTTAGTGCCCATTATTACTCCAAAAAGCCCAGAATTTAACATGAAATTCACTTTAAAAGTTGGTTTCAATTCAAAATAGTATTAATGTAGCAATATACAAAAATGTGGAAATAAAATAAGCAAGATGTTAACAAAAAGAAAACAGACTATTTTTTATTTCTCAATACACGAAAATGTAATTTTCTTATTAAAAACCTCCTCTCTCAAGCAAGAAAAAGATTTCACTAATAATATTAACAGTAGATCTGGGCTTATTATATAGGGGAAAAATCTCAAGTTCAAGATTTAATATCTCACATTTTAAAACATATTTTGGAAAAAAAAAATAACAACATAAAAAGCCAAAAAATCTCTGAGTTTCAGCAAGGTAGAAAACAATACTAATAATGCAAAAAATTATTTGTCACGCTTGCCAATAGAGTGGTGAAATCAATTGTACTTTAGCTACTTTTTAAAAAGTTGTAATTTTAGTTGAGTAACAGGCCTTTAAAACACTACCCATGATCAATTATAGACTCATGGGATTTTGCCTTGATTTTATCTTGCAAAGCACATCATAATACATAATAAGGAGTATTCAGTTTTCTTTCCTGTGGTGGAGCAAAGTTTTTCCCACCTGGTTCCACAGGCACGTACATAGGAACAGAGAGAGGTATGCTGTGTCTCCCTACCATAGCCAGGAGTGAATTGTAGGCATTCCAGCTGTTCAGTCTGATGTCTCCACAAAGGGTTGAACTCTTGCCTTCCAAGAAACACGAAGATGTCACAAACCCACAAACAGATACTCCTCTGCTGGCTGTTACTCTAGGTAGCTTTATCAACTACAAAGAGAGATAACCACCTGCAATAACTCCTCTAGCAGTATTTGAACTGTTTGGCTCTTACAAATTATCAGCCATTTAAACTGATCTTTAGTTCTAGTAAGAGGAACAGCACAGCTTTCAAAGTTACATAATTACAATTAAATATGTAAATACAAACTTATCACTGGAGATGTTTTTCTAAAGCAATATCAGTTTTGTTTGCATAGCCATTATGTTGAGTGCATATGGAATAACTTGCAAAACAGGCCAAAAAAGCACAGCCTGTGCTGTGGGTCTGTGTTTACTTGCTCACTGTGTTCATTATGCAGAAACCCAAATTCACAAGCTATGCTAATGCTGAAAATACACGGGCCCACCTAACCATGTGTGTTCATAAAATAAAGGTAGCAGTTTCTGTATAAACAGGATCTTACAGTTACTTAAAGTCCAATTTCAAGAATTTAACAGGAACGGTAATAGGTATCATTAACAGTGTGTGGAATGAGACCATGCCACCAAGCAGGCAGTGAACACAGAGAGAACACAAGTGACAGCATTAGGGATTGCAGTACTCATACTGCAATTACCTACATACAAATACAACTACCCATTGAGCCTGTACTCTGGTTGTTTTATTTTTTTTTTTTTCTTTGATGAAGGATTCTCCCAAATCACTGGCAGTATTTGTAACATCACAAATTCAGTTTGTCTTCCCATGCTTCTCCAAGTCCAACAATAATTAGCAATTCAGTAGGCTGACAGAATCTAAACAGACAATATTTGAGAGCGGGGTAGTTTTTACTTGGCTTGAAAAAATTTATCCCCTTCCAGCGTTCAGTAAGTGTGTTTAGTGGAACAAGATACACACGATATCATTAGAAAATAATTAGAAAATTAAGCAGTCAGTAGCAGAATCACAAAATTGATTAATTCCCTGGTTTCTGTTGGACTACTGAGCTCTCCCCAGCCTTAGCACATGGGAGGAAGTACCATTAGAGGAACCAGCCGCTCGGATAGGCAGGAAGCCGGGGACTGTCATGTTTATCACCAGTTTATGAGCAGGAAATGCCTTCCAGTGCTGCGCTGGCCCGGGGCTGGCTGCCCGCCTGTTTTGGGAGCTGTGTGTGCCTCGGTGCCCTACAGAGACGGGAGTCATGGAGGCCTGGCACTGCTTCCCTGTCTGTTTTCACCCAGCAGTTCGGCTGCCGGCTTGCCTGCTCTGCCGGACGTGCCGGAGCACACGCGGCTCCATTCTGCGCTGCCGCAGCGCTGCCATTCCCGCCGGGCGCGGGTTACAGCCCCGCGGCAGCGGTTAAACGCCCCTCACGGACCGGCCGCTGCGCCCGCACCCGAGCGGGCCGGGGCCGAGCGGGCCGGGGCCGAGCGGGCGGGAGCCGCTACCATGGCCCCGGCCCGGGGCACGCCCCAGCCGCCCCGCAGCCCCGCCCGGCGCGGCCGTGACGGCAGCGCGGCGCGCCGGGCGGCGGGAGTTGGCGCGAAGGCGGGAGCATGGAGCCGGGAGCGTCCCGCTAGGCACGGGGACCGCGCTGCCGCCGCCATGGTGAGGGGCTCCGCCGGGCCGGGGCTGTGCGGGGCGGGGGCGGCGCGCAGGTCCCGCCGGCCGGGGGCGGTGGCGGGGCCGGCGGGGCCCGGCGCGGGCTGAGCGAGCCCCGCGGGCGGCCCCGGGCGCGCAGCCCCCGCGGAGCCCGAGCGGCTGCGGCGGAGAGGCCGCCGCGCTCCGCCCGCAGCGGCCGAGGCTTCCCACGCGTGCCAGGAACGCGAGCCCGCGGCCGAGAAAATGCCCGTGCCCGGGGGGGGATGTGGCTGAGCCTCTCCGGTTTCCCTTTCCCCGAAAGCGGGTGGGGTGTAGGGCGCGGACCGCGGCTCGTCCGGGGAAGGAATGCGGATGAGCGAACCTGCTGTGAAGTGAAGGCGCTGTGCCGGAGCGGTACCTCTTCCTTTAACCCAGCGGGAACATGCACGAGGCGTTTCTGATGACGAGCTGGAGAGTGCGCAGTATTTGCAGAAAAACAATTCGATGGAAGGAAAAAAGAGCTCAAAAGTTTGTTGATAACGATGCAACCCTCAATAGGATGTAAAGAGATTTTAAGCATAAACATAAACATAAACGTGTTCCTGTGCTTTCCAAAGTGCTGCTCACCTATGCAGTGACCATTGGATGGTATCCCCTTTTCATTTCTGGTCAAATGAGTTTGCTTTTATTCTGTGCACATCTTTTACTGGCCTAACTACAGGTGTCATTTTGAAAGTTGAGTTGCAGCTCTAGTTTTGGACTTTCCAAAGAGTTTAAGCTTGTTTATAGCTTACACCTAGTGCTCTGCAATGGTGGGTGATACAGTCTGAGTCTTCTACTGTACTGACAGAGGTCTGCCAGCACTAAGACTCCTGGCACTATTGAACTGTGATATTTTCATTTGTTTTGAGCAGGCTGATGACTTCAAATTTATGTAAGAGATCTGCCTCTCTCATGTCTCTGCTAACACCTTTATAGAAAACTGACCTTCTTGGAAGGCTTGCTTCCTCCTTTCCCACCTTCCCAGGACAAATTCTTCCTATGTGTGATCTTCTGAACGTCACACATCACAGTGTCTGGGCCTGTCTTAGAAAGGACGAAAACAGCCATCATTTTGGGGAGGGTAAAAGTTGCCTCATCCCATTCCCTTTTCAGTGCTGAAGTGGCTGCTCAACCATCTCTGCTGCAGCTGTGGCAATAGAGGCAGAAGCACAGTGATGTTAGTAATGGTGCAGCCTGTTCTGCTTGTGCAGTGACAGCCATGAGCATATTGCAGTTAATGTCACACCCTTGCAAACTTTTCTCCTGTAGTGACAAGTGTAAGTAGCCCTGTTAGCTTGATTCTGCAGCATATTCTCATTGTGCTGAGCTGATGTGTGAAGAGTTACACAACAAACTGATTTGTATTAGAAGGGATTTATTTTTTCACCCAGATTAGTGGCCATGTCCCAGTTCCCAAACAGTGAGCTACGGTGGTACACCTGAGGGAATGAATGCCCCAGAGTGGGGGTTTCTTGAGTTTCCCCTTCTGAGAGCGACACTTATGGCTGGAGGAGGAGCATCACTTACAACTGTGATACTGCTTGGAAAACTGCTGCAGTTACCACTATCAGTAATTGTTCATTAGGTGTAGTTACCCAAGCAGGTATTACTGGTTTCACTGAAGTGATAGTATAAATCTGATTTTAGTTACTGCAATTGTTCTGGAAGTGCCGAGTGTCAGAGCTGATATGGGAGCAAAACTTGCACTGAAATAGGCAGAGTGGAAAGAAATGTGACTGTTGTGGTGTAAGGCCCTCATTGAGACACACAGAGTACCTGAAGTAAGATGCATTACTTTCTACCACAGTCATTGAGTTAGGTTGGTGAAGTTCAGTTTTCTATCTTGTATTTTGAGGTGCAGACTGGATTATGTGATGTAACTTTGGAAAATATTCTGCCTTACTAAACACTAGTCTTGTAAAAACACTCCTGGAGTTCCCAGTCTTCGTACTCTTTGTGCTACCTAACAAATGGGTTTCAGTTTCTGTTTGTGTTACTCTCCCTGGTAAAAAAATAAAGACATACAAATCTTCCAAGAGAGAACTTGCAGCCTGGCATGATTAATTACTGTGGTCTTCTGTTACAGTGTGAGATGGAAGATTTAAGCAGTAGTCAGAGCAGACAAGGACTATGGCAGAGCCATACAACTCTGAGATAGCTGAGCAGCTTTTTAGGCCTTTCAGATGCTAGGCATCAATCACCTGACTGAGAGTGATCAGAATTCTTAGTTACAACTCCTACCAGGTGGAGCTGCTCAAAGTTATTCCTTGCTGGTGCTGTGCTGAAGCAGCCCTGGGGAGCCAAAACACCAAAAATTTAATTTTAGCCTTTTGGGCAAGGGAACAGCCATGCTGGTGAATATCTCCAGGATACACAGGGCACATTGCTGTGGGTTTTGGGGGTATGTACTGGAAGGAAACTTGACAGTTGCAGCCTTTCCTCACTGGAACAAGGATAGGTAAAAGCTAAACATGCAGATTTTCCAGCTGCTGGTACTATATATGTATGAATGGCATACCAATAGGAAGGTCAGTCAGAGTATGTTAAATAGATAAGCCCAGGATGGAGAAAAGTGGTCCTGTCTGGGATCTAAGTTGCTATGATAGATACTTATGTGGCTTGATTTCTGCAATTACTTATGCAATGAATTAATAATTTGTCTGGCATGCCTTTATAAAAAGCATGAAAAATCTGTTTCATGATTTCTGGATAAAACCTTCACTGAAAGGTAACTTTGTTGTTGGCCCTGAGACATATTTTTCTCCCAAGCAATTTTCTATTCACTGTGTTATGTTATGGAGGTTACCTTTTCCTCTGAGGAGCAGGATAGCTGAAGAAGACTGGTGAATTTATAGCAAAATATTGAAGAGGCTGTGCATAGAGGTCAATCTTTGTACCTTAGGGCTGTGTATTTTAAGTTTTCATTTCATAAACCTTTTATAAATCTTAAAGAATTCTAATATTGTTACCTGTTCTCAAAACACCAAAAGGTTCTGCAAAGCTCCTGCCAGAATTATGTACACTTTAAAACTGATTCCAGAACTGAAATCCAAACTCAAGATCGAGTTAGTAGAAAAGCAGTGATTAATAAATCTTGCAGAAAAGCCTTTGGGGAAGCCTACTGAAAAGCTTTATAAATACATTAAAGCAGATGTGGTTTTAAGCTGGGCTAGCTAATGTAATACATATTTCCTGCTACCACTTTTAAGGTGTACTAGTTTGATGACTGTAATTTTGGGATATATTCATGTTCCCTCATGTAATAATTTCCAGGTAGCACAGAGGTTGGCAGATCAAGGTAGATTTGCAGAGCACCTCACTTAGTTAACAGCTTTTAATGAAAACAGTAGAATGAATAGAGCCTTACTGTTATTCTAAAACTAAATTCTCAACTATTTTAAGCTTTAAAGTAAAAACTATTAAAAAAAAGAGAACTTTAAAGTCACTCTATTTTGCAGTGTTGTATTAAGTATTTAAATTATTTTGCTACATAAAAGATTTAATGATACTTGCTTTTTCTCTTGCCTATGTTACCTTAAGCCTAAAAGGAAGTCAGTAATAATGAGTATAATTGAGTAATTAAGTCCAAATATCTATTTTAAAATAGATGCTCTCTTCAGACCTATTAGCTATAGATACTGCCTGTCAAAATTTCAGATTTATATAGTGTTGCATTTATATTGTAGGAATATATGTTAAATAGTAGAGCATTGAAAATCTATGCTTCAAGGCTTGAATTCCATGGATGGAGAAGTGTGAAGTCACATTGAGGAAGAATGATTTTCAATCTACCATTTGTTGAATCCATATTAATACATGCGGTTAAAACACAAAGAGCTTAAATATTTACAGGAAACATACAGAAAATTGTTTTAAGTGCACTGAATGAATCTGTGCATGTCCTGTCTTTTGTTTATGCTTTCAAAGTACACGTTTCATTGATTTTAAGCCCTAAGTCCAAACTGACAGGAGTTGACTGTTGGAAAATGAGCCTCAAAGACCCCTTATTATCAATCAGACTTGATGCCAGTTTCCTAAGTGTGCTACTTTCCTTGTGGTTCCCTGTAATAGTAAGGAAGTGCCAGCTGAACTCCGTGATAGGGAATAGCTCCCAGCTGTGTCCAGGGGAGTCCTGAGCCCCACCCTTTACCCGCTGTCTGTGATTTAGGCCAGAAAGAAAGAAGGTACTGCCTTTCTCTGAAATGGCTGCTGACCCTGGAGGTAGTGATACCAACCAGGTACCTCTTGCCTCAATTTATTTTAGAAAAGCTGGATTGCTAGGTTTTTAGAAGAGTAGTCAGATGTGATTTTGTTTGATAAAGTTTTTTAAAGTTTAAGCTCCAACTGCTGCTTTTATATGCTTAGAAAGCTTTTTATGGCTGTATTGTGGTCAGGTACTAAAATAAGGTAACAAAATAGATCTTAGTGTTATTTTTCTTTATTTAAATTTCATAAGTTTCTTGCTGGCTAGTTTTTTAGTGAGGTGTAAGTTACTGTCTTAAAAATTTATGAGAAAGTGGAGAATGCAGTATGTGCTATTACTTCACTGTTTCAAGCTCCTGGTCCTTTTCTTCCTACATGGGACACTACTTCATAGCTGTGTTAATTATTTTAACTATAGAAATAGTTTGGTTTAGATTTGTGATAATTGATCAGAAGAAAAATTGTAATTATACATCTGTCTTAA